GAAGAATAATTTTGCATCTTATTGTTAAGAAAGAGGGTTGTTCATCAAGTGGGGGATTCTTGAAATGAAGCCTGACACAAAACAAGCTACACTGCTTCTGCGGTGACACCATGCCTCAGTGATACCAGAGATAGTACATGTGAATATTCTATTTTTTCATGATATGAAAGCATACGAGCTGCAATCAAAGATATTACTGAGAGTGTTAATTTATTTAATATTCTTCAGAAATTCCTCATTCTAACTGAATGAAAAAAATGTATAACATTAACAAATATTAACAAATATATTTTCTTCTTCTTCTTCTTTTTTTTTTTTTTTTTTTCCCTGAGACAAGGCAGTTCAGGATGGACACGGGCCTTGAAAGGACTATTGACCCCAGGCTAGAAGTCAGAGACCGCTGCTGTAGCCTTTCATTTCTGAGATTACAGGCAGAAAAATACAAATAAAAAGGGACATAAAAATAAATAAAATATACCAAGGATATTACCCAACAATATTATCTATGTTTGATTCAATATTATACCAGTGATTGGAAAAAATAAAATTTTATTTTAGGAACATATTTAATAAGGTGTTCTGATTAAAAATAAAATTACCCATATTAAAAATATTAATAATATGCTGGCTTCGGCAGCACATAAACTAAGAAAAGCAGTATCAATAATAACCAAATGTTAAGAAGCACATGATATAAGATGTGGAGACCAAAATAAGTTAAAATACTTCAAAAATTAACAGTAGGCTTGAGCTTATCTTTTTTGTTACTGAGTAATACTGCATCATATAAAAAAATACCACATCTTTTTATCCATTCCTCAACTAATATGCATTTGGGTTGTTTTCAACATTTAGCTATAAAGAGTAAATAGGGTTTGAAAAGTACAATGCATCCCGGGAAAGGGAAACTGTTCAAAGGGAAGGAACACTGGGATGAGGGAAGAGAGAAAAGAAAGAAAGAAGGAGTAGAAAAAGAAATATATACATATATAGAATAGCTTGGATAATTGGGCTGTTGATTTCTGCTGGTCTACTGAAAGGAGCAGTCAATACTTAATTTTTCTCTCTCATTTTTAATTTTTATAATATATGACAAATATTACAGGCTTATCTTTTGTAGTCTGACCAACTATTTTGAAGACAATATAATGACCATTGTTGAATACTTATCATTTTGTTTAGTGAAATTCTATATCATTTCTATTTTTTTAGTATGTTGTATTCACTTTAAAAATATTACCACTAGGTTTCTAATGAAGAAATATATTTAATCAATAATAAATTAAAGTGGAAGCAAATATATGACTATTTATGGAGGGTCTCTTACAGGAAATAATTAAGAAACTAATGCAACAAACAAGACTTAAGAAAGAAGCATGGACTACTGTAGCAGACATAGTTCACTTCTGTGCACCCACACTTATGTCACGTCATATATTATGAGTTCTGTTCTTCATAAACCATAAACAACCCATTCCAGATAGCGAGCAATTTCACAGCAGAGGTTGCTTTATTCATTTCTGTATTCCAGAACCTAATACCTTGTTTATCAAGATGTATGCATGTATATTTGCATATAAAATCAAATTAATCATAATAATCTAACAAAATCACCTCAAATTTGTATATGCACATGCACAAATTAATTAGATAATTTGGGGGGTCATATGCATTATTGACTAATGTTGGTGTTAATTGCTTATTCCCTTAGGTAATATTTACACATATACATACAAGGTTAATTGGTTTGATGAGCGTCAAACTCAGCTAAGAGGCAGCAGCTTCTAAGTCAGGTCACATTTAAGGTTAAAGCCAGATAAATATACGTATGAGAAGTCAGTTGGCTGCAGTAAACTTATTTCTTTCACCTTTGTTTGAAACACAGATGCCAAAAGCATTTCTCCAAGTGCAATAGTGATGGCAAATGCCAAATAACCACCTGATTCAGAGTGAGAGACAAAATTATAGGGATTATAAGGACCCAGGCAAAGCTGCCCTATGGTTTCTGCATGGGCTTTTCTCTAGTCTTCTAGCCTTGATGATGCCAAGTGGAAATACTGGGACAGTGGACCAAGGCATTTTGACTTTTCAGTAGCTGGCCATCCAAAATTTTAATGAGAGCAGGTAATTTAATAATTCAGGTAATTTTTGAAAATATAGAATATGTACAATCTAGGCCGAATAAAACATATCTGTAGGGCATCTTGCAGACATAATCTCCTGATTATGATCTCAGAGTTAATAATTTGACTACTATGATGTATTTATGAAGTCATATAATTTGATTAGAGATGTGTGAAAGATTAATTAAAGAAAACTAAATATTCAAGTTTATTATAGTATTATTCCATTTTCACAGATGTCATTTTACAACTTCATTTTTTATGAAAAAGAAAATACCATATTCAAGAACTTAAAAATAAAAAAAATAAGTATAACCTTATAAACTGTGCTTTCAATGTGACACACCTGAGTTCAGGTCACAAGTTCAAGTTGGTACTCTACATTGCAGATGCATGATTGTATTTCTAAATTATGACTAACCAATTATACTGACTACAAAATTCTGTCAAAAGTGACATTTTAAATGAAGCGTTCCACTAAGAAAACTAAAAATTTCAGCCTAATTTTATTCACATTAGCTATTCAAAATTCTGTTAATCAAGTGGGAAAAAGATCTTCAACACCTAGAATGATTTATCTGTTTGTACGAATGTGAGAAAAATGATCACATCTTCAAGTAATAGATTACAAGTACAAGAAAGTTCACATTAAAGCTTTGCTGATGAAAATTACCTGCAGGCTGTTACAACATAGCCAGTGAATTAATTAACCTTTTGCCATAAAAATTTAGAAACTTCAGCAGAGACCGAGATTTCTCATTTCCCTTGCTCCCATTTCTTCAGTATGATAGAAAATAAAACATTGTTCAGATACTAAGGTTAATAAATAAAATATTCTGACCGTTTATTCTTTCTCATATTGGTTTAATAAAACTATATAAATTGTGATTAAAATGTAGAAGTTAGATGAGTCACCTTTGTTTAAGTTAAAAATGAATAATAGTAGATTTCTATGTAGATTTTTCTTTGATAAATGAGATAAAAAATTCTCAAAATGAGTGTTGGCTGTCTGAATTACTATTCAACTCATAAGATGAGTTGAATAAAACATGTCTTTTGCCAATGTGTTTTAGAAAATAATCACAATATGTATTCTTATAAACACCATCTTCAAATGAATAGATACATTGTCTGTATTTAAGTGCACTGGTCAAGCAATTTGCCAGTTTATACTTGGATTTTGATGCTTACATATCATTAACATTAAATGAAGCCACAGAGTAGAGAAAAATTTAATGATGGCATTATGAGTCACTATGTCACCTCAGGTAGTCGTAGAAAGGATTAACCAAACTTAGTAAAGGGAAGATTGTGTAATATTTAAAAATTACCAAATTATGTTTTAAATATTAACATAGTAATTTATTATGTCTTTATGCAATATTAGAAGCAATTTTTCATTTCCTTTATGTGGTAGTGATATCTCTTTGACAGCCTTTAATACCTAATGCTTCAATAAGAATTCGAGCTGTTATCTCTTACCAAACAGCTTTTAAATTATTTTTAATTATTTAAGTAATCAACAATGGGTAAGTCATATTGTCAGCTGGTTACTGAACATTCTTGTTTAGATAATGGGTTACATAACAATTGTTTTAGAGGGGCCGGGGAGATGGCTCAGTGGAACAAGCACTTCCCTGGTAAGCGCAAGGACCTGAGTTCAATTTCAAGTTCCACCAAAATAAATAAATAAATAAATAAATAAATAAATAAATAAATAAATAGTTTTAGAATCTCAGGGTATGTACTTGTTCCAACAGAATGATGATTTATTATATTCATCTTCAAAGAGATAAGCTAATGAATATTATTCCACATATTTTTTAGGAATTCAATATTTTGTAATGGATAAGATCTTGGCAATAATGTACCAAAGTAAAAATATGATATTTTATATTTATAAAGTGAGTAATGTTTATCTAGACTAATATGTATATGATTTTTTGTATTAAGGGTAAATTCATATTTTATCAATAAATATTTCAAAATAAGTAGCTATTTAAAATAATATCAAAAAAGCAATACAGTAGGGTTTTGTATGTTGGTTTGTTTGCTTTTGAGACAAGGTCTTGCTACACAGTTCAGGCTGGCCTTGTGCTCACTGTTGTAGCCCGTCGCTGATCTTGAGCTCACATGCAGGTCTACAGGTTGAACTTGGGACCTTGTGCTTTTCACATTGGTGCTTATGCCTCTGAGCTATCTTCCCAGCCCCAATAGTAAAATGTTTAATATAATAAAAGTTTCCAAATGGATCTTTAAAGAAAGATAGGGTTTTTGGGGGGTTGTTTTATTTTGTTATGTTATGTTTGTTTTGGTTTGGTTTTAAGATAGGGTCTTGCTACATAGTTCAGGCTGATTTGAACTCATTACGTAGGCCAGGCTGGCCTAGAACTTGCATGGATCCTCCTATCGCAGCATCTCATGCTCTGGGGTAACAGGCATGTGCCAGCATCTCCAGCCAGGAAGGCTGTTCTTTAAGTTTGATAAAATAGAATATTTACCGAAATATTTTTGGCTATTTCAGTTTTGAGAATTCTTCTACAATTAAGAATATACTTTTAGCTAAGATATATATTTACTGGACATACAAAGGCTAGCATATTCTTGTGAAATAAAAAAACTCATGAAAATATAGTTTGAATATATAATATATAAAGCTTCAAAAGGTATTAGGATTTCTATCAATACTTAGCTTTTCTATGTTAATTTTGACTGGATTTAATTTTGCTATTTATGACTATATGTATATATGTGATATTATCTAGTATATATATAATAAGTATGACTTGAAATAATTCAACTGAGGACCACAATTTATAATATTCCTCAATTACTATAGAAATACATATCACTCTCTGGAAGATATGATTTACATACCTGACAGGTAATGTTCTGTCTCCTTTCCTCCTATCCATTTCTCTTTGGGGAACAGGATACCAGCGGAAATTCAGCTTCCAGTTAAAACCCCCATAAGTCATATCTGACCCAGCCATATATTCAAAGGTATCATCGCTAATCACATCAATGATAGGGCATACAACTGTTTTCCTACAGAAAAATTGAAACCAGTTTACATATTAGTGATCATTTAAACATAACCTTAGCTTCCTCATATTTATGAGAGCTGTTCTTACTTTCTTTATGTTTTAAATATGTCATCAATATTATTTCACCATTTTCTCTATGCAATTACTTCACTTGACTAAATCTTCCATGTGTTCTCCCTATTGTAACATGTGAAACCTAATCTAGTTTACTAATTGACCTTCAAGCTGATTTCCAAATGCAGTCTAAGTACTAACTCATGCGATGAGCATAGCCTGTTTTCCATAAAACCTCCACCCACAGCATGATTAGCAAAGTTGCTCTGAGATTATGTATCATTTTAACTACAACCCTCTGAAAAGCAATAACATGCACAGAGGGAAGAATAGACGACAGAAAATTAGATATGATAGTTTGCATTTCAAATAGGATAGGTTAGTTTAAAAAGAGTTCCAAGAATATCTTCATTAAAAAAAAAAAACACCTACTAGAATAAAAAATAGGAACAATGAAAACCATGACCTATAAGTATAAGTAACTGTGTTCTATGAATGATAATCGAGTTTTGACAATTTTTGAATGAACTGTTCTAAAATTAAGAGTTTATAGTTGTCACAGTCCAGATGGTATTGTAAGATAGGGCAAGACAATCAGCTTAAGATTCTGGGTTTTTTCTTCTTTTTATTTAAAGTAGGAAGAAATGTGACACACTTAATGTTCTTGATCTTAAGTTTTTAGGGTGAGAAAATTTCACATGGGGATATCATTAGGTACTCTCTTAATCCATGGAGTGCCTTGTCTCTTTTCCCTTATTCCCAGCTTATGTATTTTTCTATAGGACCAACCTTCTGCCATCACCATAGGGAAATGTTTGAGTCTATCCAAGGTCAAATTGATTGTAGTTAATTTTGAAGAATGAGAGCTTGTTTTTCATATATGGCAGGAGGTAAATATAATTACAGGCTTCCATTGTACATTTGGAAAGAAATGTTGACCATTATTTCAACACTAATGTCATCAACAATCATTGTTAACTGGATTGCACATTAAAAACATTAGACCAAAGTCTGAGGTTCTCTGAAATCAGTAGGATTCATTTAGTCTTATAAATGTTTCTTAGTGACTCTGGAACTAATAAAATGTTAACTTTTTGTCATTAGATTTAATAATTAACTTGGGGGTAACGAAATTAGTTCTTATAACCATTGACAGAATTTATTACATATTTATTATAATGCTGGAATTTAACATTGAGACCAGGGATGAGAGTTCACTACATACAAACATAATGGATGGACACTTTAAAATAAATAATAAGTACAATATACATGATTATAATAGAACTTCATATTAAAAACTAATGTGAAATACACTTTAAAAAGAGCATCACAATGTACCAAATGATGCCATAAAATGCATCTAAGACTTAGTTTACTTTTCCAATCTTATTCTCCTGTGGGTACAGTACAATATATAACATGTTACTAGCTGTGTACTACGTTTAGATGAAGAAAAGGTTTCCATTGCTTTCTTGAACTGCTGCAGTTCACTGCACTCACTAACCTCCATTCATCTTCCAGCAAGTACCACATCCTGCTCCAGTAGCTCAGACTAAGCAGGCCCTGTCTTGAGTGTCTAGTTAAAACTACAATTCTACACAGACTCATCTACTCAACATGAAACAACTATGCAAGCCAAATAATACTTTACTGCCATAGTGGACAACATTCAATTTTAGTTCTCTTCATTAGGTGCTTAGAAATTGTACTCATTTATCTCCCGTGTTTATGAATATTTGCAAAAAAGCTTGTGTTTCACTGAATCATCATCATGAGAAAAATTGCATTTCTGTATCAGGGGTCTTAATTTCTACAGAGTGTTATTTAATTTTTCAAAGTTCATAATTTGTATGTAGAAAGTGGAAATATTGCTTAAATAATTAAACTTACATCTGCTTTGTTTAGTTTCCTAATCATGATTTCATTTCAGTGGGGACTGTGTGTGCATGTTCATTTTTAAGATTCTCAAGGTGAATTGCAACTATACTCTGAGTTAGAGCACTGAGGTAATAAAAAGTACACTGGTGAGCAGGTAGGAAGAATCAGATTATTGTTCCCAGCACTTTCATTAACTGGGTCAAGATACACAATTTCTTTGTTTCTTCCAATTATTAGGTATAGATTAAAACATCTACATTACATACCTCAGAATAGGAATGTGAGAATAAAAAAATGGCTTTGAAAATATGCTTTTATAATATATTGCATTTCAGATTGTATTGATTTCCTCTACCTAGAAGCCAATACTCAACATACGTTTATCATTTAAATTATTTAATTATTCCTTAATAAAAAACTCATACACAACATGAGTTGAACCAATCCTTTGTGAACTAAAATGGACTTTTAAAGAAACCTATGGAATAAGCCTTCTGAAAATAGCAGCTTGGAAGACAAACTCTGATAGACAGGTAGAATCTCCCTTACAGGTTCAGTCATGACTCATGCAGAGGTAACACGTGAGCTTCTACCTGTCTTCCTTTATTCTCGCCAGCAAAGGCTCCAGCCATCCTAAAGTGCATTCGCAGTGTGCATCCAGAAAAGTTACGACCTGCCCTTTTGAAGCAGCTGCTCCTCGAAGCCGGGCACGTATTAACCCTGAGCGCTCTTCCATTCTGATAATTTTGACAGGAACTTCTAAATTTTTCACGTAATTCTCTAGGGTCAACTTGAGAAAATCTGTAACATGCAATAAGAATTTACAAAATTTCAAAACTATTTCAAGACAGACTGTCTGCTTTCATGATAGAAACTCAACACACAGAAACTGTGGCCAAATCATAACACATTTTTTTTATTAGACAAGATAGAAGAATACCAATTATATCAGTTAATTAATGTGTCATAGCTAGTCATATGAATTCTACATATGATCAGTTGAATTGGGAATCAGAAAGAAGATATTTTGTAAATAATCCTGGGTGATTTTTGAGGGAAGTTAGAGTCAAAAGAACATGAAGAAAACAACCAATTAGTTAATTGTTCTTGGAGTTGACACTGACAAGGCATACTGATAAAAATTGGATAGATGGCTGAACGAAAGCAAAACACAGATCGCTGTATCAGTCTCATAACTGTAATAAAAGTTTATAATTAAAAATTTATGGAACGTATTTTATACCTCTTTCACTGGCATCATCTACCAAGATGACCTCAGAGAGCAGGTAGTGTGGGGAACGATTTATAACACTATAAACGGTTCTAAGGAGAGTACTCCATGCTTCATTGTGAAATACAATGACTACACTTGTGTTTGGAAGTTCATCAGGGTAGACTTTTGTCTTGCATCTGGAAAAGAGAAAAGAAGAAAAACATAACAAACTTATTTTTCATCCTATTCATCAAAAGGAGAAATATCCTTAATAATACAGCTTCGTTCTTGAAAAACTGTACTGGCAAAATGTTTCATATAAAATCATTTTATTTCTTTTTTTAATATTTATTTATTTTTATTACATTTATTTATTGTGTGTGTGTGTGTGTGTGTGTGTGTGTGGCCAGCTCAGCCCACCAGGGGGCGGGGCTGGCTGGCATGTGGTGCTGGGGATCGAACCGCAGTCCCTGTGCTTTGCCAAGCTTGTTTCAAGTAGGTGCTTTAGACCACTGAGCCATCTCTCCAGCCCCATAAATCATTTTATTTCTTACAATAATGCTCTGAGTAATCATTTGGCCTCTTGAAAATTACATATGCATAATTCTAATATTTTAACGTCTGCAGGGAACAAAGCAACATGATTTCTACAAGTTTAAGAGAGTCTAAGAAAGGTAAATAACATCCTGAGATTGTCAATTAAAACTATGCACAACAGGGACAGAGGAACTCATTTAATGGATGGAATTTTATTCTTTACTTAAAAAAATAATTATTATATAACTCAAAATGTCATAAGTACATGTACATCTACACTATTTTGAGAATGAAGAATAGATTTACTTTTCTAAATTCTTGTTATGTATAGTTTTCATTTTACGTGAATGGTATAAATCATGGTGCTTTCAAGAAAAAGTTTTAGGAGCCAGGACTTGGCCTTAAAAATTCCTGATTTTTCTAGATATCAGCAAAGGAAATGGGCAGCACTTCTTAAAATATGATGTACACAGACACCATCTGAAGATTTGTTATAACTCAGATTATAATTTTTAAGATACAGGATGGAGCCTAAGATTTGATAGTTTTACAAAATTCTCAGATTAGGATCTTCTCCTCTCCGAATCCCACTGGTCGGCAAGGAAATAGACTTGTCATTACACTTAAGTCTTCAGGTTACAAGCAAAATACTTTCAACTTATAAAGCAAAAGAAGTCCAGACTTCACAATGCAAGCAACCACTCCAAAAAGTACATTTGGATAAATAATATGTTTATGGCTCTAGGTGGCTCTCCAAATTTAACATGCAGCCAATTGTTTTCCTGTCAACTTGTCAACATTCCTACAGTTCTGTCATGCAATTTCAAATTATTATGATTATACACTCCAGAAAAAAAAAAAACAGCTAAAGGGTATCTGGAGCAGAAATAGTTTATCGTGAGGCTGTTTGTAATGTAAAATAATCAAAAAATAAATTAAAATAATTCCATAAAATTAAATACACCACATACCTCCTGGTACTTATAATGAGCTAATACATATAGAATGGAACTTTCTTAAGGTAGTTTCCTTATGAATGAGTGGAAAGAATATCCAATAAAATGTCAACTGTGAAAGTACCATGAACAAAACTGATTGCATGTTTGTTGAGATTTTAATCATTTTTAAAAGATCCTAAAATATCATATGAAATGTTCATTATTATAGGTAGATAAGAAGCTACATATTCTAAACTTCAATTTTGTTCAGCATGTAGTATTGGAAAAAATTCAATAAGCATCCATAATACAAAGTTAGTTCACATATAAGAAAATAAAAATCTACTGGATTGAAAAAAGCAGTTGGAATCATAGTTACTTATTCCCGTGGTGGTGGCAAAATAAAAATACTTCAGAATGCTTCATTGCTGTTTCACTTGAATCTCTGGAGAGCTCATCACTATGTGAACTGATACAGCTACATTTTAAGTGAGAAAGGTTTGCTGTACTATTTTATTCATTCTCCCACTTGTCTTGCTTATTAAACATCCCATCACTTTCATCATGCCACGCACAAAATATATACGTCAAAGGCAAACATTATCATCAATAAAGAAGTAATTTGAAAAATAGGATGAAGGCAATCCAATAATCAGCAAGCACTAAATTAACTCATGCATTTCTGACTCAGTATCATTTGGAAACAAATATTCTTTTAAACCATAATTTTATATTTGGTACACTGCATGACAGCAAAGAAAGTATGGGTGAGATACAAGTTTAGATAAGTTACTTAAAATATTAAATTTAAAGCAAGTATTTAGGCCATGCATATTTAAGATGGTTTAACCATTTTTAAATCATTTTTTCAAGCTTTATATTTCTGGTTACAAAATGCCTTCACAAGTGTTAATTTTATATTCATTATATGTGTCACTGTTATAATGAACTAATTTACCATTGATGCAGTTATTATTATGTTTGCTTAGAGCAAATTTCCACTGTCATTTTTAATGTAGCCTAAAAAGTAAAATTGGCTAATATGTTTATTACTTCATTGTCTTACATAAATAGTCATTCATCAAGGGCAACAAAACTTTATTTATAGTGGATGAATAATTTCCCATGATTTAATGCAGACAATAGTGATTGTAATCAGTATTATACCACATATTTGAACTCTACTAAAATAGTTGACCATAATTCATCACACACACACACACACACACACACACACACACACACACACTCTAATAACAAAAAGATGGATAGTTTAATTGTACTTATTTTGATAATAATTTCTTAATATTTATGCATAGCAACTGAGAAGTTTTATCTTTTGGATATACGTAATTTTTCTTTGTCAAGTGTACCTCAATACAGTTTGAAATTGTCAGCAGAAAAACCAGAGGTACTAAAAAAATTAAATAATTCTTAAATTACACAAATTAAACATCTTTATGGTAGTTCCTCTTTATATCTCAAATGCATAGATCTGTATGAACAGCAGTCATGATTTTTATGGTTTCTAATGAGTTTCTAACATACTAAACTGGTATTATTGTTTGTATTTCATCAAATTCAGTGTTTTATATATAGCAAGATACACTATAATTTAATATCCTACAGTGAAAAAAATGTTTTCAAATGAATTTAAACATAATAATATCACTAGAATATTTTCATTACTTAGAGTTTATAGAAAAAGATTTTAAAATTATTTGGACGAAGACTCCTATAAATATTGTCACTCTTCATTTATGAGTAAGTCCCATCAAATTCTTATTAAGCTGAAGTTTCTTTCACCTGTTCTATGAAGCTTCGTGCAGTTTTAAAGTTGTATTTTCTAGGATAGGTGAGCCAACCAATTTGCTTATATCAATTTGTTTTGTCAGCATCTTTCCTGATACTGTGAAGTTTCTTTGATGTATTTCATTTCTGTTTATTTTTGTGGGGAAGGAAGGAACCCAGAGCCCGATGCACAGGAGGCAAGCATTATAACACAAATTATACCCTCACACCTAAAGGTTTTTTTTTTTTTTTGAATAAACTTTTTACAACGTGAATTTAAAATTTCATGGTGCAAATAAATTATACAAAAATCTTGCTAAAATTTAGGTTTTGAGTTCATAAATGTAGAATGAATATAAGATTCTGTGTTTCCAATGATATCTTTGCAATGCCTACACTGTCCATAAATTCAATAATGAAAAAATTCTATATAAATCTCTCAGCTAATGATCACCTTCTGTTACTTTTCTCATTGTTGAGACAAAACACAAGACATTCAAATTTAAAAGGGAAAATATTTATTTTATTCACGTTTTGTAGATGTTTCAGTCCACAATCACCTGGCTCCAAGAGAGGGTGGAGTGATGGACACTGCAGAGGAGAGTCAGTTCACTGCCTGCAGAACATGACTAAGCAATCAAGGAAGGACCACAGCTCTTTCTGTTCTTTATATCTTATCCAGGATACTTACGGCAGACATCACTCACACTCTTAATCCTAGTGCTCTTGATCCTAGCATTGCACCACGATTCAATCCCAGAATCACACACTTAAGATCCATCCACTTCTGAAAAAACCCCAGCTGAAATTTTATGAGGCTTGCAAGGGAACCTAAACACAAGCTCCAACATTCTGCCCCTGCACCTCTAAAGATTCATGCACATCTCTTTATGCCAAAGACACTGAGTACATCTTTTAAGATCAATCAAAGTCCTAAAAGTTTCAGGCTTGCTGCAAAGTCCAAGTCCAAAGTGTCCTTTACGATTTAAGGCAAACTCTGTGCTGTAAGGAACTGGAAAAAATGAAAAGGAAGTTAAACACAACATGCAATGCCACAAAATAGACATTACCATTCCAAAAAGTACAAATGGGGGATACAAAGGAATGGGACTAAAGTAAGTCCAAAAATCCAACAGGGAAAACATTAAGTCCTGTAGCTATATGTGCAGCATCGAGGCAATCTGTGGCAATTTGTGAGATCCATGGGACTTGTTTGACTCTGTCCTTATAGCACTTCTGGTGGTATTAGTTATCATGGCTTCTTTCTTAGGTCTGCTTTGCTCCCTCCTTGAAGCTTTCCTTAGATAATCCACTTTCCTGGTTTTTGCAAAGGGGAAAATATTTATTCCCCTTCTGGGGTCAGCACTTCACTTTTGCCTTCACGATCACTCCTTCACACACTGCCCTCTCAGGGGCACACTGCCTGGTCCCCCAGGGTTTCTGAATCTATACTGAAGCCTTCTCAATCCCACAAGTCTTCTATTCTGCATACACCTAAGCCATCACCACATGTACGATGCCAAGGTATGTTGCCAGCTTGAACAGTGGCCAGGCTCCTCTCTCCCTTGACTGTAGGAACTGAGTGCCTGTGACCCAAATCCTGAAAACAACTTTCCTAGACTTGTGTCATTATAGAACACAGTGCTGTGAGAGTTCTCTTTTCAAAATATAATTGTAGTCCTGTTCCCACAACTTATTGCTCAATTACATAAAATTGAACTTACACTGAAGAACTTGACCTTCTTCTAGTTAAAACTTTCCAAACACTAAATCACAATGTAGTCTTTCCTCATCTGAGAAAAATCCTCAACCTCTAAACTGTTAGACTGTTTGCCTTTGTTTCTTGGTTGTGTGAGGCTTTCCTTTTGCTTATCTATTTTTAGCTAACAGAAAAGTATAAACGTTGTACATACTGGAGAACTATGTAACTT